AGATTAGTAAGTGTTTCTTCAAACTCATTAGATTGTAACTTGCGGGTACATAACAGTGTTCTTGGTGCTTGTTGGCTGACTTTTGCGAGTTGCTTCGATTTCAATAGGGCACTGTCTATTTTGATAACTATCCTATGGTCGATACTAGTTTAAGGCCATGTTAATATTACTGTTGGTTAAATTTTGACCCAAGTTTGTTTTGCTTATATTTGCTTCTCAGTCTGATTTTGTGAATATTTTTCTGAAGTAAACTAATATAAAACGGCAGTATGTTGATGCTGGTATGCTTGTGCTTAAAATGTTGTGTTTTGTTCGAATCCGCATTTTTTTAGAACTAGAAAGGAGTGCTTTTGAATTCTCATTTCTAATACAACTCTATTTGTTTGATTTTAAACTCTCAAAATATGTTTTCCTAGTATGTTTGGATGTTGTCCATTTCTATGCAGGTTTAAGGTTGATTCATGTGCGCAATTGGAACACTACGGAGCATGTTGGTTCAACGCAGTAAGGCCACTGTCGAGTTTTACAGCAGGAATAACAAGTTTGGCCACTACACAAATACGCCAGTCTCAGCATGTCACTAACAAGAATCACCACAACAACTGCGACACTAATCCGGCAACACCATGACACTACTAAGCGACGAAAGACTCGGCGGTTTGTCACGTCTTGAGACAAGATTGTGACAAACTTTTGGGGACAGAAATGAGTGCAAGGAATATATATATATATAGGTTGCGAACAGGGTTCAAACACAGCAGAACCACAGCTAAACATTGAATCCAGTTCAAGCGGAAGCCCTTCATTGCTCAAACAACAACTCACACAAATCATCGCCGTTTCGAAGTTGTTGCGGTATTGCCGAGTCGTCTGTTGTATGAAAAGAGCTTGAAGCATTGTGATGCTGATAATCTAGGAACAACAAATCGGTATTCAACTGCGGTGGTATTCTTTGAGACTTGGATTCTGAGACATCGATTGACGAGGATTATAGATAAGAGTTAGTTATCGCGAATGCAGCAGCCGCGCAACAGCAAACTTCGGGTCATTCATCTGCGATGGGTTTGATGTGTTCTTCGGGATGTGGTACTTTTGGCTTCTATATTTTGTGTACACCCCATACTGCTTATTTGTATGAATATTTATGTGCAGGTTGAGAGGGGATTAACGATATTGGTTCGATTCAATTTCAACACAACATAACAAACTCACAACAGAGTCGCAATTTGCAGTTGCCGCCCCTCACCAACAATTCCACAACAGCGATGCCAAATTGCTTTTCAAGCAGCATTCTCCAACAACAACAGCACAACGCATTCGATAACATGTTTCAGCGAACGGTAGCTTTAAAAAATCTGAGTTTGAAATGTTGACTCAATAGGAGGTGGCTGTATTGACCACTCGGCGTCGAGATGGCAATGTTCAACATAACCTTAAAAACACCGTTTCAAGAACGACAACATTACAAGTTCAGCCATAACATCCCAGCTCGCGACAACTCCGCCAACAGAAGCTCCGGAGGTCCAACTTCACAGCACAACCGTATCTATATGTGTAGGCTCCAATCATGTTATAAACATAATTTTGTGGACAATGTGCTGCTGCTGTAAAGGTTTGTGTCGACAAGTCCTGCATTGCGGTAATTTTTTTATTTTAGAATTTCTCTTTGGTATGATATTGTCATTATATTGTCATTGAACAATGATGTGTTTTCAGTTTGATTACAGTCGTACAATGTTAGAGTTAAGTTGTAGCTTTTTATGGTTTTGTCCTGCTGTTAGTTGCAGATGATGTTGTTGCTGCTATGTTTGAATACTATGTTGTGCATGCTTGGCTCTGCGTATTTTGGTGAGAATGGATGACATGAAATATCTTAGGGCTTGTGGTTCAATGTTTGTTATTCAATTTTGTGTTTGTGTGTTGCCATTTTGATAGCGATTTCGATATTGCTTATTTCCGTTTCAATTTTCGGTGTTTGATTTTGTTAAGGCATTGGTACTGATGTGTATCGGCTTGTGGTTACTGATGCAACTATAATGGTTTCATGTTCTGTAGGTATTCTTTTCATATGCATGGAATTGTATTAAGTTTATGAAATGTTATCCAATTTCAGCATTATACAATACTATGAATTCACACAGTTCATGACATTTGGTTTGAATAGTTTGTTGGAATTAGTAAATACACTCGCTGCAACTTTAGCTTTCAATTTACGTCGACACCGGTTTCGCAAGAGTTGAATGTTGCTAGTCCTGCAACTTTAGCTTTCACTTTTCATAATGGAGAGGGAATTGCTGTTTTTTTTCCGTTTAGAATCCAATAGTTAATTAAAGGATTAATCATATTATTGTCTTTGAATTATTGTTTTAAGTACTATTAGACTAATTGATAATGTATCTTATGCTAATTAGATAACTAAACACATAATTTTGACTTTACTCTAAATTTTCTTAATTCCGGTTAATTGCCAAAGTATATCAATTCAATTTATTTTTCAACACTTATTTCTTTTAAGTAAGCTTTAATTAACCAATCAATTTTTAATAAGAAATAACTTATTATTTTTCTAATTAGTAACGAAAGTAGTGAGTTTTTGGAGTCTAGCACTCCTTGGACTCTTGGACAACCGCTCTCGAGGTGTACGCCTTGAGTTGTGGTTGTTCCGTCTTTCGGTTTTCAAACTGTTTTTTTCCACTCAATTCAATTGAGATTTCTAAAAGATATTTTTAAATCAATTTTATTAATTAGATATTTTTATAATAAGTTCCAATTATTATTCGTTTAAAATATATATATTTCAAAATTATTATCAAATAATATTTTGAATATTAGAAAATTATATTTCATTAATTAAGTTAAAATCTTTTTTAGGATATTAAACTTTTTTTCAAGACAATTAATTATAATTGGCTTTTCTTAAAATCTTTTTTATAAGCAATTGATTAATTTATTTTATATGAAAATTAAAGCTATTTTTTTTATTAAATTAAACTATTTTTCTTAATCAAATTTCAAAATAATTAAATTCTTGGATCTCGCCTTCCTTGAATTTTTAAACGACCGCTCTCAAGGTGCACACCTCGAGTTGTGATCCTTCCGATCTTATTTTCTAGAATACCTAGCGCGTCTAGTCCGAGTACGCTAATATTTTCAAATTGTTTTCATAATTAAATCACGAAAAAATCGAGTTCTTGGAGTCGCGCATTCCTCGAATTCGAGAGTGACTACTATTGAGGCGTACGCCTTGAATGGTGTGTCGTTCGAACTTTCGTTTCTAAAATACCTCCTTTAATTATTTGGACAAGTACTTACTGTCCAACAAACACTATTTCATAATTAATGGGATGAAAAAGATGTCGTTGAGATATAGCATTCCAACGATATCCCGACTAATTGGTTACGAGGCCGACGTCTCGTTTATTGAATAGTCGTCATTCCTCCTAAATTTTCAACCCATCTAACCTCGTTCCTCGCCTCCGTGCGATCGAGTCTAAACCCTAGTATGTTTCTAAACCATGCGCCAAATTCAAATTATTTTCTTAATTAAAATTACGAAAGAATGGAGTTCTTGGAGTCTCGCATTCCTTGAATTCTTGAGTAATCACTCTTGGGGCGTACGCTTTAGGTTGTGGATTACTCAACCTTTCGTCTATAAAACACATGCCCTAACTATTTGGACAAATATCGACATTGTCCATTCAAACACAATTTCATAATTATTCGAATGAAAAAGGTGTTGTTGGGATCTAGCATTCCAATAATATCCCGATTAATTGATTGTGAGACTGACGTCTCGTTTATCGAGTAGTCGTCATTCTCCCTTAAAATATTCAATCCAACTCTCTTCTCTCGCCCTCGTGCGATTGAAATTTTCTCAAACATATTCCGTAATTGTTTGAATGAAAAAGGTGTTGTTGGGATCTAGCATTCCAATAATATCCCGATTAATTGATTGCGAGGCTGACGTCTCGTTTATCGAGTAGTCGTCATTCTCTCTTAAAATATCCAACCATTCCAACTCTTTCCTCGCCCACGTGCAATCTCCAACCTAAATACTTTACCAAGAACATCATTTAGCCCATTCTTTCGCGCATAACAAACTCGTGCTTCAGCCTCCCCTAGCAAGCAGACAAGCCATTGTTTAGCAGTTAGAATGCGACCTAAACTCTCGTTCGACTCAAATACACATTTTACCAAAAACATTGTTTAGTCCCTTCTTCCGCGCATAACAAACTCGTGCTTCAGCCTCCCCTAGCGAGCAGACAAGCCAATGTTTAGCAGTTAGAATGCGACCTAAACTCTCGTTCATTCCAAACACAAACCTTTTAGCAAACCGTAGGCCGAACAACGGCTGCTCTGATTTCTCATTCCCCAATGAGAATACGTAGGCACAAGATTGCGATGATCATGGCGAGCACAATCCCCTCTTTTTCCCGTAGTCCCACGAACTACGAATGCTCTGATTTTCCACTTCTTACAAGTGAAGATACGTAGGCACAAGGGCCCCAATCCTTGGCGAGCACCCTATCTTAAAAACACTCATTCCCCCTATAGGAGAAACCTTAGAAGAAAACTAACAAGCTAGCTAACTTTACTCTCGAATCGAATCAAGAGGTTCCCGTTGAGTACAACGGACGTAGAGGGTGCTAATACCTTCCCTCTGCGTAACCGACTCTCGAACCTAGAATATTGGTTGCGATAACCATGTTCTTATCCCTTTTAAGGTTTTATCGATATTTTCCTATTCCATCCTTGGAATGAATAAAGTTCGGTGACGACTCTGTTTCGAACGTATTTTCCGCGTCCATCGCGAGGATCGTATTTTTCGAGGTACGACAAGTCTGCACGAGAAACTATCCGTTTTTAAGGAATCAAAATCCTTTTTCTTTTTTTTTTCTGTTCAATCTTACTTTTCTGATTCTTATAGTTTGTTCCCCTCATTTCATATGGATTGAATGAAATTAAAGGGATCAGAATTAATCCCAGTTCTGTGGAGACCAATGTGGTAAGTATATTGTAACTTGTTTGTCTTTTGATCAAATTTTCCATGGTCTTAAGATGTTATTGATTAGTTTATTATGTCCCAATATACTAGGCCAATAGTGATAAGTGCCAACAAAATCATATATAACTTCTATAGCAGCAACACCTTAGAACAAAGATGTGTCCAGTGATATTCACGTCATATCTAGTTTCAGTGTGTCTTGTCAAGATTTCATAAGAGTGTCTGCCTATTACAAAGAAAGAGGCTAATGAGAGTGTCTGCCTATTACATAATACAGGTTGAGAGTTGTTCTCCACCACCAAATTTCAGCGAGTGATGTGCAGTACACCCTGTCATGCTTTCAGGTTCGATAACAAATTCATTGAATGATGAATTCAAATTCTATATGATTTGTTGTTTTTAAAATCCAAAGAATATACTTTACTTTAAGCTTTACTGTTAAATTTTTTTGTGTGGAATATTGCAGCAAGCAGTGCAAATTGAAAATGGGAACTAGTGGAAGAATAGCACTTTGCTGGTGTATGATTGGTCTATCTAAGGGGAAATTGAAATTTTACATCTATGGTACTTCTATTTGCTAATTAATTAACTTATTATAATCATTTTTTTAATTGTGGTAGAATTTATACAATATATTGTTATATATTTTTTTTCTTTTGCCATCCTAATTTGATGCTGCCAAGTTACGCAAACTTCGACCAAGCTTCAAGGAGACTGGAGCCTATGTTACTGCTGGCAATGCTTCTAGCGTAAGGTTGATATATTGTCAAATTTTCTTAACAACCTTAATTTTTTTCCTATGTGTCGTATTATGCTTAACTGTTTGTATTTGGATGCTCTTGCCAAAAAAAGAATGTAATAAATTACATGGTCTTTAACATGATTTACTGGAGTAGTTTAATCTGGACTTATTGAGAGTAAGTGATTTAGTTGGGAAAGAGGGAGATCATAAACTATTTCAGTATCAATTTAGAGTAATTTATCAGTTTGATTGAATGATCAATCACATAGTTTGATGTTAAGCTGCTGCTATCACTTCTAAGAAACACAGAAATTAGAGAATACCATCTAGAAGACAAGTTTTTGCCTATATCCTTAAGCCACGAGTGGTTTTATGGGATTACTGTTTGAAGCATGAAGTCAGTTATATTCACAACTTATCAATTTATTGTATTCATAGTGCTGAATCTCGAGTTTCCATTAGTTTATATGCTTAAATGCTATTATCTGATATATGTTCTAGTAAGTTTTATTATGGTATGAGCCATGGTTTCTTATGAAAGTGAAACTATTATCAATGACAGTGATGGTGCTGGTGTGTTAGTTTTGGTGAATGGAGAGAAGGAATTAAAGCTTGGTCTTCAGGTCATTGCAAAAATTATTGGATATGCTGATGCTGCTCAGGTACATAAAACATTTAAATATGTACAGGAACGATATTAGTATTCACATTATTTGTAGCGTTGTATCTATTGGTAGTATTACTTTATGTTTGTATCATGTGATCTGTACAGGAACCAGAGTTATTTACAACAGCTCCAGCCATTGCCATCCCCAAAGCATGGTTGGAGATTTCACAAATTGATTTCTATGAAATTAATGAAGCCTTCGCGGTAGGATTTCATGCTAAACTTTTAATCGTAGTAGTTTTTGTCAAATTATGATGTCGTGAATGTTAATTCCTTGATTTTTCTCTCTAGGTTGTGGCTCTTACAAATCAGAAACTTCTCGGATTAGACTCGGTGAGTTTTATCCCTTGTCATCATGTGAAGGTTTTAATCTGATGGCAATTTTGTGAAAGATGGTGGTTCTGTGTTTTACGGCGGATATGGTCGTTTATAATGGTGGATCTTTTGCTTTCTGCCACCTGCAGTCGATGACACTGGCACACCATGGCGACATGGCCCCATATGTTTTATGTGAATGTTTGAAATTTTGTTGCTTAATTTCTAAGTTATAGACATGATATTAAGTATTAGCTATATAAAAAAACAAAAATCTAGATTTGAGTTGAAGTTCAATAACATGTATTGTCTATTATAGAAAGTCTCTTGGAGATGCTCTTGGAGCTGGACTATCCAAATCTGCAGTCTGCACTACTGTTAACAAAGTTTGTGCACCAGGAATGAAAGGTGTGTAATGTACTATAATGGTGCTGGTTTCCCTAAACAAACTCAACACTCACAGCAACCACACAATTTGCCACAACCACAAATTCAGATTCTGAGTACACAGTAATTCTTTTTATTTGTAACAGTAAAATATATTTCAAAGTTTTTTATTTATCAGTGTTGATTGAATGAACACAAGTTGAGTTTTGCTGACACTGGAAATGCTTTCTTTTCTTGTAGGCTTTGGTTAACAAGTTTCACCCTCCTAAACCTGATTGGTATCAAAAGTTATTTGCTTAGGTTCTGAATTCATTTACTAAATTTTATGAAGCTGAGGTTTGTTCTTCATTCTTTTCATCCATATGGGGTGGATTTTGTTTCAAATTTTCGTTATTTTCAAGAACATATGGCCTGTTTGTTTTTGCGTTTGCAAGCATATGTACGCACGTTCGATGAGAAACTACACTTTGTAGCTTGTTGGTTGGATGAATTACCAAGCATACGTTAATTATTCGACCTTTAAAATTTAAAGGACTAGACTTATTCACTTTTTGTTTTTGTTCTCTGAACTCTCTTTTTGGGTGGTTTTGTGCTTTTTCTCATCATTGCATTGAAGTGAGGTTTGCTATGTTTTTATGTAAGGTTGCTCGGTACAAGTCTCAAATCTTCAGTATCTTGAAGGAGAAGAAGGCTAACAAAATCTTGGAGATTGGCATTGGAACTGGTCCTAACCTCAGTTATTATGCAAGTGATTCAAATGTGCATGTTGTTGGCATTGATCCTAATCCAGAGATGGAGAAGTATGCTCGGTCTTCTGCTACATCGGCTGGATTCCCACTCTCAAATTTTGAATTTATACATGTTGTATGTAATGTTTCTTATTCTCACTGGTTTTTAAGCTATATAAATTATAATCCTTTCTTTAGAATGAGGATTTTGAGGAACCATGGTATAGAGAATTTGTGGTCTAAGTGATTATTACTTGATTTGTGTTAATTGATCTTTAAATTTTGTTCTATTTAGGTTGGGGAGGTTATACCATTAAGTGACGCTTCGGTCGATGCAGTTGTTGGAACACTTATATTGTGTTCTGTTAAAGATGTTGACAATGAAACTATAGTAAGTTTTATTATGGTATGAGCCCTGGTTATCTAGTTACATCATTTTATTTGTGTAGGACTATTAAAATTACCAAGAATCAACAGGGTTCAGGCTATTTAATTTTGTTGACTTCTATAATTTGAATTTAGCCTCAGTTAGGCTGAAGTTAATTATCTTGTTGACTTCTGGTGTTTGACTTTAGCCTCGGCCAAGTCGAGACTAAATATTTTATTGATGGCCTTAGCCTTGAAGTATCTGAGGCTAAACATTTTTTTAAGCCTCGACCAGGCCCATGGCTAAATATTTTGTTGACTTATGAAGTTTGACTTTAGCCTCGGCCAGACCTAGGCTTTTTTTTGTTGACTTCTTTATCTTGACTTTTAAGTGGTAGCCTCGATTTAGACTCGGTTAAACCGAGGCTAAATTAGACACGGCACATTTTGGCCGAAGCTAAATATTAGCTTCGATTGTTTTAGACTTCCCCCGACACCAAGGCTAATTGTTTAGTAGCCTTGGTTTTTTTTCCTTATAGCGTCGAAAAAAGGCCGAGGCTAAATACATTATTTCTAGTAGTGGTATCTTTATAGAGGAATATTTCAAGTCGGTAGCTCAACCGCAAAGAAGATTTAATCCTACTATGAAAGAAGTAGTGAGGAAAGAGATTGTGAAAATGTTGGATGCCGGCATGATTTATCCTATTTCTGATAGTCCATGGGTGAGTCCAGTTCAAGTGGTGCCGAAGAAGGGTGGAATGGTAGTTGTCCGCAATGAAAAGAATGAGTTGATTCCAATAAAAATCGTAACGGGATGGAGAATGTACATTGATTACCGTAGGCTAAATCAAGCTACAAGAAAATATCATTTTCCTCTTCCGTTCATGGATCAAATGCTCGAGAGGCTCTCCAGTCAAGAGTATTATTGCTTTTTGGATGAATATTCTGGGTACAACCAAATTATTGTCAACCCGGAAGATCACGAAAAATAGCTTTCACTTGTCCTTTCGGAATCTTTGCTTATCGGAGGATGCCGTTTGGTTTGTGTAATACACCGGCGACTTTTCAACGGTGTATGCAAGTGATATTCTCGGACTTGATTGAGAAGACGATCGAGGTGTTTATGGATGATTTCTGATTTTTGGGCCGTCATTTGACCTTTGTTTAAAAAATCTTGATGTTTTCTTGGAGAGGTGTGTGGATACCAATCTAGTGCTTAATTGGGAGAAGTGCAACTTCATGGTCACGGAAGGCATTGTGCTCGGTCACAAGGTTTCTTCAAAGGAACTTGAAGTTGATAAAGCTAAAGTGGAATTGATTGAAAAGCTACTGCCACCTCTGAATGTAAAAGGAATTTGAAGCTTTCTAGGTCATGCGGGATTTTATCGAAGATTCATCAAAGACTTCACGAAGATAGCAAAGCCATTGAGCAACCTGTTCAACAAAGATAAGTCTTTTCTTTTTTATGATTCTTGCATGACAACTTTTGATTCTTTGAAACAAAGCCTCGTAATTGCACCCATAGTTGTCGCATCGAACTGGAAAAGTGATTTTGAACTAATGTGCGATGCGAGCGATTATGCGGTTGGTGCAGTTTTAGGCCAAAGGAAGACTAAAATTTTCCATGCGATACATTATGCAAGAAAGGTTCTTAACAAAGCTCAAATCAATTATGTGACAATGAAAAAAGAATTTCTTGCTATAGTGTATGCATTAGAAAAGTTTAGGTCTTATTTGATTGGATCCAAAGTTGTTGTTTACACCGATCATGCGGTGATCAAGTATCTGCTTACCAAACCGGATTCCAAGCAACGGTTAATTCGTTGGATTCATTTACTGCAAGAATTTGATCTTGAAATTCGTGATAAAAAGGGACCCGAGAATTTGGTAGCAGATCACTCGTCCCCACTTTTGAATGATGAAGTCACAAAACATGAGAAAGAGGTGAGGGAGGAGTTCCCCGATGAAAAAGTGTATATGGTAACAGTTAGACCTTGGTTCGCCGATATGGCTAACCACAAAGCCACCGGATTGATACCCGAAGGTCTAACTAGTCACCAAAAGAAAAAATTTTGTCTGATGCCAAGTATTTTGTTTGGGACGAACCACATCTTTTTAAACTTGGCGTCGATAACATTTTGCGAAGATATGTTTCAGAAGAGGAAGCCAAAGATATCATATGGCATTGTCACAACTCTCCGTATGGAGGTCATTTTAACAATACGAGAACGGCTGCTAAAATCCTTCAATCGGGATTTTATTGGTCGTCCTTGTTCAAAGATGCGTACGCG